GAGCAAGAAAGAGAAACGACAGCTGTTAGTGACTTGACGGAAGAGGAGGTAGCGGAACTGAAGGAGGAGGAGGAGGAGGAAGTTCCGGAAAGTTCTATATACGTTACGAAGGAAAAGGAAGACGAAAAGGCTTACGCTGATGAACTATGGATTCAGGTTCATTCTTCGCAAAGCTCTTGAGTTTGAGGTAGTTGGTTTACGATTTTTTTTTATTGTATAATTGTTTTTTATTTATTTATTTTTATTCTTTTTTATACAGCAAACAGTGTACAGTAATTCAGTTAACATGTGAAATAGAAACTGGAAATCCTTGATAATACAATTCAAAAAGAATTATTTTATTTCAATGGATTTACTGCCAACTTGTTATTGCTTTGATTCTGTATATTGCTTGTTCATGCTGCATTAATTATTAGTAATTAGTAGCTTAATTATCAAGGTACCACCAATAATTAGGATTTTTGAAATTGATAAGTGGGGTTAGAGTTGTGAACTTTCTTGATTACTTTGGACTAAACTCTCTCTCTCTAAAGATGAAGTGACACTTCAAAATTTGAATTCGTTATTTAAATAAAAAGTAATTAACAACACTATAGTGGGAATAAAAAAAATAAAAATAACAAATGGGAATTCATGCTAATAACGATTTAAATAACACAAGGGATATTTTGCAACTAATTCCTTGAAATAAAGATTAGTATATTCGTCCCCTCGCCAACGGTCGTTAGTCTAGTGTAGTTTACGTCTCTCGTATAGTTTGCAAGCTACTATACGAGATTGTAGGTTTATGCAGTGCATCTGTTGGCTGTATCAAACATAGTTAGTCTAGTGTGATTTATAGCTCTTATAATTTGCAAACTACTACACGAGAATATAGATTTACCCAGTGCACTTATATGATTGGCTGAGAGTTTCTTTATTAAAAGAAAATATTAATATACTCGAAATATACTTTAATTTGTTTCTACGGTCGCAGAAATTATACTAAAATCGAACTTGGGTTCAAGAAAAATAAAAAGTTGTCATAGTCAAAATAGAATTTAATATGTCGATATAAATTTAAAGAATTGAAGTTGGCTTTTTCAAGATTAAGACGTGTATGTATACACACACAACTTTGTGTCGATGGGGGAAAGTATCAATAGAATTGTTCTTTTCTTTTTCAACTTGTTTTGGGATTTATTCAATATTTTTCTATTGAAGCCATACCTTCCTTAATGGCGTTTTGGTTTTATTTACCACTTGTTTATATTTAGATTGCGTGCTTAGACTCACTACCTCTATTTAGTTTCACATTTTATCGACTAATTAGTTAGTAATATGTTTGATTAATTAATCTAATCGAACATATTAGTAACTAATTAGTCGATAACATATTACCGAACACATGTTCGATTAATTACATCCATAATTTGACATATCTTACCGAACATATGCTCGATTAATAACACCCATAATTTGACAATAATTATATCATAATTGGTATCATTTTAGAGATAAAATCAATTTTTATTTTCTATTTAGTAACTACCTATAAAATAAATTGTAGGGGTATCTACAATTTACTGTGGATCTTAATCAGTTTGAATTTTGTTAATCGAACACCGACTTTCAGACTTAGCCAATGAAAGACCGAGAGAAAGACTATCGCCTCCATTTCAATAAGCAGTGAGAAGGTTAGCCAACGAGACTTCATACTTTGTCAGACTGAAAACAATGATTAGGTGTCATCCATCGCATCCTTTTTTCGCGCTTGTCGACTCCCATCTTTCAATAGGGTCTCTACCGCTTTAGTGATTGCTTTCAGGCTTCGAGCTCTTGTACTGATTCCTACTTCATCTGTTTCAAAATAAGCGCAGTTATAGATTAATGAACATATATTAAAAAAATTAATAAATATGCATGAACTTCAGAACATGACTGAAATACCCTTTCTATTCCACCTCTATTTATATTTTTTCATGAATTTTTCTAATTGAATATATTATTGATTTTTACAATGGAGTCAATATAAAGTAACAGTGACATATGAATAAAGTCCAACACAAAACTCTATATAATTAATTATTAATTATTATTAATAATAATTTTGTATTTATACTCATTATTTATCACCATAAAAAAAAGACTTTTTGAGAAATAAATTAACATTTAATAAAGGTGGAGATTCTTTTGACCCAATACCCAAAGTACACCTCATCACCAAACTTGCCTTTGCCGTGTACTTCTCTGCTCCAAAATCCCCTCCTAAAATCTATACATACAAATTCGTGTATATATATACATATATATAAATATCAATTCATTTTTCAGTTGATATTTTTCTTCTTCTTCTTCTTCCTCATGTATACATACAAATAATTACACTGTAGCTACACTGTAGATTTCAATCTCTTCTGTTTGTAATTATTTAATTTTGTTAAATGGAGCTATCGTATTCGCCGCCGCTGTCAGTCAATTCCGGCTCACTCCGCCGCGTTTCTGCATCGGACACCCACCGCCGCCGCCATAAAGTCGTCCTTTCTCGCCCAATTTCCGCCATCTCTTCTTCCTACGCCGCCGCTCCTGCCAGTAATGGTTGCAGCACCAGCAGCTCTTCCTCGTATTTCGGAATCTCGCTCGCCAAGCAGCGGGGCGCGTGCTACCACCGGAGCAATTCGGTTCCTCACAGAAAATCGAAGCGCTCGTTCGTCGTGGTTGCCGGAGTTTTCGAGAGATTCACGGAGAGAGCGATTAAGGCGGTGGTGTTTTCTCAAGGAGAAGCCAAGGCTTTGGGCAAAGACACGGTGTTCACACAGCATCTGTTGCTAGGCCTCATCGCAGAGGATCGCGCCCCCGGCGGATTTTTAGGATCCGGCATCGACATTGAGGCTGCACGAGAAGCTGTGCAGAGTTTGTGGCAGGAAGAGTATCAGAACGATGGGAATGGGGGCAATCTGCAGCAATCGGAAACTTTGGCCACCGATGTGCAGTTTTCTACGAGCACGAAAAGTGCTTTTGAAGCTGCAATTGAGTATTCGAGGAATCACGGGTATAATTTCGTAGCGCCTGAGCATATCGCCATTGGATTGTTTACGGTTGATGACGGCAGTGCTAATCGTGTGCTGAAGAGGTATTTCCTTATTCGCGAAGCTATGTTTATATACTGATTTAGTTTGTTTGGCATGTGATGAAGATTTTATGTAGAGATTTGGATGAATGATAGTGGTGTACATAGCTGATATTCTGATGTGTATAGCAGTGTTACGTTGTCTCCCGTATATTTGCATTTCAAGAGGTTGACTTACTTCCATTATGTTTACATTGCATTTTAAGTGTTTGATATTGGGCGATGTTAAGTGTGAAGTCAAGATTTCCGATCTCTAGCATAGGTATTTTCATGGGGTCTAATTACTGAATTTATTTCACCTTCCCATGATACATGAGCTGGAACGAATACTGCGAACACTGTTTTCTCCCCTCCCGATGCCTTATCCTGCATTCCTTATGCTACTTGAGTTGAAAATGAGACAATTGTTTGAAGATTTCCATTTCTTATTTCTTGAACTTGGCTGAAACGATTTCAGATTAGGGGTAAATGTGAATCATCTGGCCGCTGTAGCAGTCTCCAGACTTCAAGGAGAGCTTGCCAAAGAAGGGAGAGAACCAGCTTCTGCTGCATTCAAAAGGTCGCGTGATACCGTCTTTCCTGAGAACCTCACTCGTGCTAGATCCCCTGAAAAGCCGAAAGGTGTGAATCCGTTTTTTCCTGCTCTCCATTCATTCAGTTAATATATATTTAGAGCATAGAAAATGTAGCTGATATTTACTTTGTTAACATAACAGAGAAAAAAGCTCTTGACCTATTCTGCGTCGATCTCACTGCCCGTGCTAGCAGTGGATTTATAGATCCTGTGATTGGTCGAGATAAGGAAGTACAGAGGATGGTACAAATTCTTTGCCGAAGAACCAAGAGTAATCCGATTCTTCTCGGTGAAGCTGGGGTTGGTAAGACTGCAATTGCAGAAGGTCTGGCTATAAGCATTGCCGATGGAGATGTACCTTCCTTTCTTAAGGTGGGTTTCCCCTTCACAACTGAAAAAAAGTGTTAAATCAACTTATATATTCGTCAGGTCTATTCTGAGAGTTAGATGCATGGTTTTGTAATATGTTATCGGTATTATTTATTTTGGCAGAAAAAGCGCATAATGTCATTGGACGTAGGTCTACTAATAGCAGGTGCTAAGGAGAGGGGTGAATTGGAGGGGCGTGTTACCATGTTAATAAAGGAGATTAAGAAGTCAGGTGAGCATCTGTTTTGCTTACGTGTCAATGTTCTAAATTGTTCGAATCATTGCTCAGATTGGTGAGGCTATCTTTCAGGAAATATTATTCTCTTCATTGATGAGGTTCACACGCTTATCGGTTCTGGCACGGTTGGGCGAGGAAACAAGGGATCGGGTCTCGATATAGCGAATCTATTGAAGCCATCACTTGGACGGGGTGAATTGCAGGTAAAAAAAAATCACGTAATAATGCCTGCTTTGCCTTATATATAGCTGTAATACTGTATTAATCATGTCAGTTGAGGTTTCTTAAAAGAATTGATTTATTAATCGAACTGCTATATGCATTTAAACAAAATTAGGTAGATCTTTGAGTGTTTTGTACTTGCTTTTTGTTTGTGGTAGTGTATTGCATCTACAACTATGGATGAGTTTCGGTTGCATTTTGAGACGGATAAAGCATTGGCCCGAAGATTTCTACCTATATTGATCAAACAACCAAGCGAGGTACTAATATAATCTGTATTCACGAGAAGGATATATGCACATAGTACTTGCAATTGTTACTTTATCTACTCTTACAATTCTCTGCTGTGATTCCAATCATGTATAGGAAGAAGCATATCAGATACTGTTGGGTTTGCGTGAAAAGTACGAATCTTATCACAAATGTAGATACACTTTGGAGGCCATAAAAGCTGCAGTATATCTTTCGGCAAGATATATTCCCGATAGATATCTTCCGGATAAAGCTATTGATCTTTTAGACGAGGCAGGAAGTAGAGCTCGTATGGAAGCATCAAAATTGAAAAAGGAAAAGCGAATAGCAATACTTTCAAAGTCTCCGAGTGATTACTGGCAAGAAATTAGAGCTGTGCAGGCCATGCATGAAGCGGTATGCTATTTCTTCCTTACGTAGTTCCAGGTTATGTATATATATATATATATATATATATATATTGTAAATACCTTAATCCATTCTGATATTCAAATCGTATGCCTTTGTCTTTGAGCAGTCACTAGCAACGAAACGGACTGAAAATGACGACACCTCGAGGATAGAAGAGGATGGAAAACTCAATATTCCTTCTTTGCCGCCCTCGTTGTCGAATGATGAGTATGTGCCCTTCCTCGTATTTTCAAATAATTGACAGATCTTTACTCACTTGAAATTGATTTTTTTTTCTTTTTTTTTTTTTGGGCCACATTCAGAATCACGGTGGTTGGAGCGGAGGATATAGCTGCTGTTGCTTCGTTCTGGTCAGGAATCCCTGTTAAAAAACTAACAGCTGATGAGAGAGTGCTCCTATTGAGTCTCAATGAACAACTGAAGAAACGAGTCATTGGTCAAGATGAAGCTGTTACCGCAATTTGTCGAGCTGTGAAGAGATCCCGTGTTGGCTTGAAAGACCCCGATAGACCCATTGCTGCAATGCTCTTCTGTGGGCCCACTGGTGTTGGGAAAACCGAACTCACCAAAGCCTTGGCCGCAAATTTCTTCGGTTCTGTAAGAAATCATTCACACACTACGTTATTTTTTGCCGTTACGAAATTAATTTTAACAAAGATAATGTTACTTGTACTTTTCTTTTTAGGAATCCGCCATGCTAAGATTGGACATGAGCGAATACATGGAGCGGCATACTGTAAGCAAGTTAATCGGATCTCCACCAGGTTACGTAGGCTATGGAGATGGAGGTACTCTTACAGAAGCTATCAGAAAACAGCCTTTTACCGTTGTACTGTTAGACGAGATCGAGAAAGCTCACCCAGACATATTCAACATCCTCCTGCAATTGTTTGAAGACGGCCATCTTACAGATTCCCAGGTTCATTCGCTAAAGTTTGATCGTGTTTTCAGTTAAGTTATAAAACACTCTCTAATTTTGTGCATTCGTTTAATAGGGTCGAAGAGTATCGTTCAAGAATGCGCTAATAGTGATGACTTCCAACGTGGGATCTGCTGCCATTGCAAAGGGTAGAACAAATTCCTTCGGCTTTTTCGCTAACGAAGACGTTTCGACTTCATATGCCGGAATGAAAGCTCTAGTGATGGAAGAGCTCAAGGGATATTTCCGTCCGGAGTTACTCAATAGGATAGACGAAGTAGTGGTGTTTCACCCTCTCGAGAAACCTCAGGTTTGGCTCCTTCATTGCTATCTTTTTTCCACTGCCTATATATATACGCGGAAAGATTATATTCACTACATTTAAATTCAAACTCGTTTTTCAGATGCTTGAAATATTGGATATAATGTTGAGTGAGGTTAAAGATCGTCTTTCCACTTTGGGAATCGGTCTGGAAGTATCGGAAGCAGTGATGGATTTGATTTGCCAGCAAGGCTATGACCGGAGCTATGGGGCCCGCCCTCTCAGAAGAGCAGTTACGCATATTATTGAAGATCCTGTAAGCGAATCTATACTCTCTGGGGATTATAAGCATGGTGATATTGCGGTAGTCGATTTGGATGAATCTGGTAATCCGGTTGTGTATAATGGATCAAATCAGAGAATCCAAATATCTGATACAGCTTCCCATCTATAAGGGGTTCATCCAAATAATATTAAAAAAAAAAAAAAAAAAAAAAAAAGCAGTTTCGTCGTCCTGAGGTGTATATTTATTGAGTATATATATGTATTTGTACAGAGCGTGTAAATAATCGATTCTATGGTATAATAACGGGCGCGTATAGAAACGCTGTATCATTCTTTAGGGCACGAATGCGGCGTGAAAAATATATGTATTTGCCAACACGATGGATATACGTTATTTTTTTCCCTTCCAGTACTACGTTGTTATATACTAGTGAAATTATGAAGACGATAAAAAACATGCTGGGCAATTCAGCGTCGACTTGGGGTGTAATATGAGCTCGATCTCGAGCTCGTATTGAGCAAAGCATGTTCTGTTATCAATGTCATTGTACTTGGTGAAAATGATATAAAATCATGTTGATACCATTTTAACTAAATCTGTTAAGTGATTACTATTGTCCTCATTTATTTATTTATTTTTCATTTTAAAGAATTTGAGGGTAGTTTTTTTTTTTTTTTTTTTTGGGTCAAGATTCTAATTACAATAATCTAGTTCGTAATTATCTTTTTATTTTTACTTTTCAAGTATAGTTTTATTTTATAAAATTACTACAAAATTTGCACTTCCTCAAACTCGGTATAAATATTGAACCACACAATTAAATGATACTATTTCATTAAATTAGTAGACCCACCTACAAATTTTTGTAGAGTTGACTAAAACAGGAAACGACATTTTATCTTCCAAACGCATGTTTTAATTATTAGAAAATTAATATAAGATTTAACCCAAGGAACTAAATATTTTACAAACGAAATAATTAGTTAGTAGAAAATTAATATAATCTCATCTAATTCAAATTAATCCGACATAAATAGCCTCTACCAAGGCTCAACATTTTTTCTTTTTATATATATATAAAGAAAAAAAATGACTATAGTTCAAAAATCAAAACTTAGGAATCTATATTCTGTTTATTTATTTAAAAAAAGAATTCTAAACTATTATTAATCTTGAAATCCACCTTTACTCGGTTTCGGGGCGGGTCAGGGTCCGGCCCGGATTCGACTACCGTTGCATTCCTAATTTTGGGTGCTCACACACAGTTAAACCTTTCGTTTTGGGGGTTTTGCCGCTGTTGCACTTGCTACCGAAGATTGAGAAAAAAAAAAAAAAAAAAAAAAAACAGGAGAAATCGAAAGCAAAACAATGGTGAGATTAACGGCGGATTTGATTTGGAAAAGCCCTCACTTCTTCAATGCCGTTCGCGAGCGAGAACTAGATCTCCGAGGTTTCCTTCTTTCTCAAACCCTTCCCCCTCTCTCTCTCTCTCTCTCTCTCTCTCTCTCTCTCTCTCTCTCTCTCTCTCTCTCTCTCTCTCTCTCTCTCTCTCTCTCTCTCTCTCTCTCTCTCTCTCTACACATATTTACCAGCACCTTATTGTTCATATGTAACAATGAAATCCTTCTGCGAACTGTTTTTCTATGTTCATGTGTAGTAATTTCTCTTACTGTACTTTGTTCTTAACAAACAGGTAACAAAATTGCTGTTATAGAGAATGTTGGTGCTACGGAGGTTAACCTATTTTCCCCTCTTTTTCTTTCCCACTCCATAGTTTCTGTTTGAAAATTTTGTGACGATTTTGCTCTGATTTTTTTTTAAATGTTTATTGGTTAAATATGATTGCAGGACCAATTTGACACCATTGATTTATCCGACAATGAGATTGTGAAGCTGGAAAACTTGGCAAACATGAATCGGTTAGGCACTTTGTTGTTGAACAACAACAGGATTACTCGTATCAATCCCAACCTCGGAGGTACAATTTTATTAGGGCACCTGAAAAAAAATCGATTTTTGTTTTGGAAATTGCCTATATAAGCTAATTATTTTCGGTTTTTGGAACAATTGCAGAATTTTTGCCCAAATTGCATACCTTGATACTGACTAACAATAGGTTAACTAACCTGGTCGAGATCGATCCTCTTGCATCGCTCCCGAAGCTGCAGTTCCTTAGCTTGCTTGATAACAACATTACTAAGAAACCCAATTACCGTCTGTATGTCATCCACAAGTTGAAGTCTCTGCGTGTTCTAGATTTCCGGAAAATCAAACAAAAGGTTAGTATTAAAATTCTGTTTATTTAAGTCTTCTGCTTTCTTTTCATGCTGCAAAATGGCATAAGTATTTTTGTGTAATGCATTTTCTGTCACTGAATTTTGTTCTGGGCTAAGCTCCTCTATCCTGAAAGATAGTGCATGGACATCATTCTCCAAATTGAAGCAATATAATTTGAGAAGAAAACATCCAAGAATTATGTAGACCTAATGTTTACGGAAAATATGACCCTTTTGAAGACTAAGACGAAATAGGTAAAATCGTATACTTTGAAGTCAATAGTTCCTATGATATCAGTAAATGCGAAGGTGGAATTAGATTTTATTATATAACTAACAGCTCTTGGTTGATACGTAGACCATAAACTATTGGATTGCTGATGTATTTCTCTCAATAGTTAAACGTGTCTTATTAGGCAGAATAATCCTTTCTCGTCTAGGTCCTTCAATAACCTTTGTGACACTTGATAACTGTAAGAGCGCTTCTCATTTCATTAAAAATTATTGCGGTCTTGGCCTCATATTTGCCCGTTATTTCTACCACAACCACTGCTGGTACTATCAATGATGATCCTTATGTAGATGTCAAAGATGATAAGAGTTAAGCATGTGTTGCAAGTGAATAAAAAAATGTACTGTCACTCAAAGCACTAGCAAGATAATCCAAGACACTATCACTAATCTTACTTTTCTTAGGGCAGTACTAAAATTATTAATGCTGCCATACCACGAGTTGTTTAGCGATCTTTTAATCCAACAAAGGTACTCCTACTTTGGTTCTGCTAGATTCGTGCTCAAATAATTAAGTTTAGTGTTGCACCAAGAAAGTAAGATTAGTGATATTAATTTTTTGGATCACATTTCTGGTGGTTTCAATTGAAGTTGAAAATTTTCGATTCTTCTTGCAATAAACGTTCTTGATTCTTCATCGTCTTGGACACCCATGAAGGTCCATAACTCTCTTAAGTGTGAATTCACAAGAACGTGCTTCTTTTAAAACCTTAATAAGGAAAACCATGGAGAAAATCACAGGGCAAGAAAAAAAGAGATCACAGAATTCTTGTTTTAATAGGTGTCAAAACCTTTCCAAAAGAATCCTGTGTTAGAGTATACCATTCTAGTTCCATAATTGAGTGGTTGATTGCGGTGAAGTGTAACCCATTATTGCTGTACCCAAAACACACTTGTGAATTTTCCCAATTGTCTTGCTCTAGAATTTCAGTTATTTTAGTAGCATAACTGAGTTTTGATACAAAAGAAACTTCCTTTTGTTGCTTAATTTTGTAACTTTCTGACGTGCTTCTTAATATAGTATCTGTTTGGTTCTGTAATTTATTTTAAGTTCAAACTGACCATTGTACACTAATTCATCTGAGAATGATACTCTCGATGAGATTGTTTAGATTAATTTGGCTAACTGCTGCTTCACATGACAAATAGGAGCGAGTTGAAGCCAATAATTTATTTGCATCCAAAGAAGCTGAAGAAGAGGTTAAAAGGGAATCTGCAAAAACATTTGTACCTGGTGAGATTCCTAGCACTGAAGATGTTGCAGAGGATGAACAGCCATCTAAACCATCTGCTCCTACACCACAGCAAATTTTAGCTATTAAGGTATATGCTTTGTTTTTTCATTTTCATTGTTCGTACTATCCTGGGTTCAACGACAGGATTTATACTGCCTGTATTAAGGTATATGCTTTGTTTTTTTATTTTCATTGTTCGTACTATCCCGGGTTCAACGACAGGATTTATACTGCCTGTAATTCCACGAAATTTATGTCTATCAAAGTGCCGAATCCTGACAAGCTAAGATGAGTTGCCAATTTCATCTCTCAGCTGTCGAATAGTTTCTATGACACTGAAATTCGAAAATGAAGAGAGATGTTAAAGAAGGTTCAAACTTCTTAATAAATAAAGAAGAGTAAAGAAGAAATTGCACATCTGTTTTGCATTTAAGATTTTTTTTTTTTTTTATCGCTATTAAGCCCTTAAATTTATTTGAATTGTCAAATCATTTAAGATTTTGCTACATCCATGCAGGCTGCTATTGTTAATTCACAAACTCTTGAGGAAGTGGCAAGGCTTGAACAGGTGATGTCACCTTGCAATCCAAATGGACACTGTATATTTATCTTAGTAATGGAAAACAGCGTTCCTTATAAATTATATCCTGGTTATTACAACTTTCCACTATTTATTTGCATGCAGGCACTCAAATCAGGCCAACTTCCAGCTGATTTTAATATCAATGACGATGACACTACACCTGAAAGTGCTCAACCGGATAATATGATCACTGATGAAAAAGAAGCAAACGGCGAACCTAAAGACAGTGAATCTGAAAAAAAGAATGACGAGTCTGCAGAAATGGAAGAGGTATTTATATTGCTTTGAATAATCACATGATTACTTTTTGATATCATAATTTGCATATGCACTTGGGCTTTATTCAAAGTGCTTGTACACTTTAGTTCCTCTCTGTTTCACCAGAGAAAAGTTGGTTAGAATTTGTCTTTACTTTGGATGGATAGAAAAACCAGCACCCATTTCCGTGATACGAGCAATATTTTACTTTTTAGTAGATTCTCTGTATCTACCAAAGAAACATACCAAGAAAATAAAATTAAATGAGAGAGTTGTCTTGATCTGTTTCAACTTTGGGATGCTTATGAAACTGAAGGATATGGAAATGCATTTATATAGTTCACTGAAGCTTCATAAAATATATCAGCGAACCATAGTTACAAGTGCGTTGAAGTAAATACTAAACAACCTACATTTTCTTAATTAATGCATTTCACTCTGGGTAACTTCCAACTTTCTAATGTTTTTATCGATTTTGTTCTTCTTGATGAATTTCACTTTCGATGTTCGATTAATCATTTTCCACTCTTCAGGATCTTTTAACGAAATGGATCTAACATCTGTTTTATTTACTTGTTTTTTTTTTCCAGGAATAGGCTGACAGCATTCCAAATTCTTCCCCAGATTCAAAGACAGTGGAAAATCTATCAGTCTGTAGTAAAAGCATGTGTAACATTTGTGTTCGTTCTTCATATTAGATTTCAGAAATGGTTGTGGAAGGAGAATCTGAACTATTAGAAACGCATTCGAAAGGCAACTTCCGCTGCTACCGGTGATAACATTCTAGACAAACAGCTTATATTGTATTGAATTCTATCTTATTGAGTTTCTTTCTAGTTCTTGTTGAAAAGTGGCCGTAGATTAACTTGTACTCGGAATTTCTTTTTTGCGGTATTATAATCGTGTATTAAGGTTGCTTTGAGTTATGATTTTTTTCTTAAACAAGGATTTAGATGCTCAAAATAGGGTAAACTATTGTCACCTTTTGAGGTGAGGTCAAATTACGAAAAAATCTCTCTTGTTTTGGTAATTCAACCCCCAAAACTATGAATCTTCTTGCACGTTCACCCTTGTAGTGTCAAATTCAACAGAATCTTGTAAATTACGTGGATGTTCTCTAGTTTGTATGCGTTTTGTGTGAAATTGCAGTTTTCGATGCACCACAATTTGGTATTTACAAATTAAGACATATGATGATCATCTTGTTTCAAAATGTGGAGCTCGAATGAGGTAAAACGGGTACAAAGTGGAGAGTATTCCACATAATCTAGAAGATTTCACTAAATTTGACACTGACAAGTGACAAGTTTGAAAATTTAAGAAGATTCATAATCGACGGATGGTTGTAATTACCAAAACATAACTGTCTTTTTATAATTTGAACTTGTCTTTTTATAATTTATTATAATTTAAACTTACTTCAGGGGTGACCGTAATCTACCCTATATTATGATGGGGTTATTTTGTAGACCCCCCTCATTTCCAAATTATATAGAACTAACTATCAAGTGGATTACACTCTAGGGGAAACCCCCCTCATTTCGAAAATATTTTGACATACCCCCCTGAGCTACCCTGAAGTTCCTATAATACCCTTCTAAAATCAGTTTTAAACCCTAGCCACTCACGGTCTCTCTCTTCTTCTCTCCCAGATTCAAAATCCCGCCTCCACAAACCTCCCATCGGTGAAATTGCTTCCCGGAGCCATAACTCTCTCTCCGGTGGTCGGAATTCGATGGTTTAACTACCGCTGGATTCCTCTCGTCGAGCTCTTTCTTTTGGTGGTAATTTCATTCAGTTTCGAGCGCTGATCTGTTTCTGCAATTTTTTTTCATTCGAGTACGGTGGTCATGCCGGAGCTTTATTTTGTGTTCCACCCGTCGAAATTTGACGGGTCACCCACCGTTGGATTCCTCTCGTCGGGATCTATATTATGATGGTAATTTCGTTTATTTTTATGTTTTCAGATTTATTTCTATATTTTTTTGCATTTGTGGGCGCGCGGAACCGTGGGTGGTTATTAGCGTCGTCTAGGGTTTTGGTAGGAGGCGAGGGGGGTGAGGAGTCACTGTCTGTTTGATTTAAAATCTGTAGCATTTCCCAGCAATAACCTCTCTCTCTATCTCTCGATCTCTTAGTGTTTGTTGATTTTTGAGTGTTTTGATGTTTTTCTTCAAATTTTGTTGATTTGCACTAAAGTAATTTATTTTTGTTTTGATTTTGCAATTGCAGCTTAATGAAGGCCATTGATCCTTTCCTTGAAGGTGTAAATTTTTTTTTTTTGAAGTTACATCTGATTTGTTCAACAAACTGTATACAAAACTGTACATTACTATACATTACTATAGTAACATGTAGTTACATATGCGTATATTTGTGTATTTTCGATTTGTATTTTATTGATTCTGATGTGATTTATAATAAAAATATTGAAATTTGTAAATTTTTGTTGGGGTTTTATGAATTTATTTTGTATAAGTCAGTATTCGTGTGTGTATACAATTGATCGACTAAAAATATGGGGAAAAAAAACGAACATAACTATGAATTACTATAGGTACTATAGTTACATGTAGTTATTTTCAGTACTGTAAACATATTGTTTTGAAAAAAAAAAAAAAAAAAAAAAAAAGTTATTATTTTTAATTCAAAAAAAAAAATAATAAAAAAAAAAAAATATATATATATATATATATATATATATATATATATATATATATATATATATTTAACAAACGGGTTTAAAAAAAAAAAAAAAAAAAAAGGAAAATAATAATAAATAAATCAGCGAAAATGATAAATGCAGGACCATAAATGCTGAATGCAGTTTGGCCGAAAATTGCATATAAGGGTAGTATAGTACTTTCGCTTCTCCAGGGGGTATGTCAAAGGATGATTTGGGCTTGGGTTTATCCATAGTTTATTTGGTGGGTAGGGGGTACGTAAAATAACCCCTATTATTATAGACATCAAAACTGAGACACATTCGATCCAAAAACTATGCTAGCATTAGTTAGAGAAATCCAAAAAAAAAAAACAGAAAAATCAGTTCTATTGCGAACCAGATTACCATCTCTCATTAAAATACTATTAAAGGTTATAAATAAAATTAACATAAACAACATCACCAAGTACTCTTATCTAACTAGAGATGGTTCCAAAAAAAAAAAAACATATCTCAGAGTATCCACAATAGGCTGCCTATACTTGGTATAAATACGACGAATAATGCGAAGGCAAAGCAGTAGGAGCAGCAGCGCTGTGCGTAACACCGCTCCTATACGATTCACTCTCCGCAACTGCATCAGCAAACTGATACAGATCAGACTGAGCAGCTCGATTTCCATGACCTGCTGACGTGGCATTAGCCACTCCTCCAGGAAAGCCTTCCACAGAGGTCGATGCCCTGTACAAGCTAGTAAGCCCCAACGAAGAGGTTTGACTCGCATACTTCTCGACTAGGGCCGAATCAGCACGCCAGTCGTACGAGTGGGTCCCACCGTGGTGGGTCCCGTGGTTTATAATTTGTCCAGCTGTATCGACTATCATTCCTCCATTAACTCCCGCGTAAGAAGGTGTCGAAAGAATGGCACCGTGGCTCAATGCACCTGGCCCACCGTAAAGTGCAGCTTGAGAAGCGTGATAATTGTTGGTGTGAATTGGGCGACCAATATCCAATAAGTTCCTTCTGCTGTCTAAATGAGCAGTAGGAATGCTTTGGTGGTGTTGACCGTGGTCAACGTACCGGGGTCGTTTTGGTAATTCTTGGGGTTTCGGCCTCTTCCATGTCTCGTTTTCGATTGCTTTTCTTTTGTTCGGTGTTGTATCTGCCGATTTTTTTTCGGATTCGGCAATTTCTCTTTGCAAAGTTGCAATCTTTTCCTTGATTTGCCATCCAGAAAGAAGCTTTGTTGGATCAATCTTGTGTCTTTCCAAGCACTTGCTGACGGATTTTAGAGCAGCTAAATACTTCTTGTTTAAATCGTTCTGCATGAAAGACAAGATACACACCATAAAAAAATCGTTTACTAGTCGTCGGAAAACGGAAAAGAAAAATCCAAGATGTCGTTTATTTTGAAATGATTTTAAAATGCAGACTATTAGTTACCTGCGTAGCTTCTGAGCCCTGTCCCTTCCTCGGCTTTTTCCAAGATTCTTTAGATTCCCGTAGAAACTGCATCAAAACTTTATGAGGATTAAACCTCGCTTCAAGCCCGAAGGTGTAAACAATATCAATAGCATCTACTTCCATTTTATTCTTCATCATCCCTTCCACTATTTCTGCAGATACCATCACAATAGATGTTAGAATTTAAAATTAAAAAGCAATTATACCAAGTACGCCTTTAAATTACTAGTGCGCAGACGAGTAACAACAATTCACAAATACACATTAAGCATCACGTAGGTATTGTCCGCTAGATAATATCCGTGCGCATACAAATATTATTAGTCCAAACATTTTAGGCTGTTAAACACGTGTTACGGAGGCTCGGCAATGTTTAATGGATGACAAGTGCGAGCTCCCTGTTGGCGAAGAAAGGGCAGACTTGTTGCACATCAGTTATTTGAAGCAAGAAAATCCCGTTTATTGACAGACAACAGGCAAAGACCATAATAAAAATGTTCATTAACAAACAGGCACTGCGAGAACTCTTTAAAAGAGTCTAATACAGATTCTACCAAATTAAGGAAATAAAAAAAAGTCGAATACAGATTCTATAAATTGCAAAAAATCTATGGAAGAGTCTAATAGGGTACCATCTTTCGCTCTTCTTCATGTTAAATATTTAAAACTTGTGCTTCAATTTATTTGTTTATATTTCAAATTTTAAAAAAAATTGCCTAAATAGATAAAGAATATGTTGAAATGCAATAAATACCTGTATTCTGTATAAATCAAGAAACCACTTATTTCCAAATTACATTCTAAAAGATAATATTTTTATTTTTCTATGTTAATTTTCTTTTCTATAAAGGCCACCAAAATAAGGAGGTATCCGGGACGACAGGTAACACCCCATTCAATATAGGTTTTTGCAAGATTTTGCAGATACACGACCCTTATTAACTCCACGTGTCTAGATAAATTGAGCATTTCAGGTCCATTGTTGAATAGCCTCGGTTAACTAACTTTAAATGCAACGAATCATTTCGTTCAGTTAGTAGAGACACGTGTCTCCTACACTAAACTGTCCTACATTTCTCCAATATCTCATACGACATTGCTATCAAATGCACATTGCTATCAAATGCGCGCCTTTTCTCCAGTGGCAATCAATAGATTCAAAAACCACAAATAACAACCAACGATAAAGTAACACAAGATTACCACATACTGAATATAACATGCACGATCAATATCAACAACCAGACGAAAGAAAGGAGCACCTGGAATTTTATTCATTAGCTCGTGCGACTTCTGCAGTACACCCAAAATCTCCTTGGCATTGCCGGCAATCACCAAATCCCGAATATCCTCCTTCTTAAATGCGCTCGGAATCCCAAAACACGCAACAAACAACAGAAGCCCACGTGCATCGATCTGATTGGCCTTCGCCAGACCACCTTCAAACAACAACCTTTTCCGCCACGCCAATGCCGCTGTCTCCGCCTCCCCTTTTACGGCCTCCTCGATATCCATCACCCCATCATCTTTGTGATTGTCGGAATCCATCCCCATCATCAACAAGAAACACTCCAATATCAAAATGGACGCCTCGCGAGCTGGTATCATAGGCGAGTTCTTCGTAAACGCCTTACTCCCCTGCAAATAGAACTTACCCAAGCACTCCAACACCAGCTTCGGAGGATTCAAAGCCAGTTTCAAAGCCTTCGGCACTTCTTCCCGTAGTTTCGGAAGCTGAGGAAGGTGAGTGGCCATGTATTTCCGGATTCCTCGGCTGCACATAATTTTGCACAGGTTATCAAGCTCTGAATTTGGGGGATTCTGCTCCTCTTGTTGCTGCTGCTTCTGCAAAATCGTTTCTTCCAGTAAATTAGGTCTGCACGAGGAGGAAGAAGGGGCGAGTGCGGCGATTTCGGGAGTTTCCGGGGGCAGTTTGGACAAAATAGCGGCTTTGATGGAATCGAGGTGATTATGGAGATCGTCGTAGCATTGCTGGAAGGAAGATATGGCGGCGGAGAGGTCTTTCAATTCGGCTAACGAATTGAATAAAGACGGCGGCGATGGCACCGGCTGTGGCGGAAGGGTTTCCAATTGTGGTGACTGAGGAGGGCTGTTTGATTCATCGTCGTCGAAGGGTAGCTCTTCGGGATCTTCTTCTTCTTCCTCTTCTTCTGGGGACATATCGCAGGGATTTTCCTCCGGCACGAGGGGCGGCGGAGCAATGGCGGCAGCGGTAGTCGCCATGGGGATTTGCAATGTCAAAGGTAGAGTTTTTATTGAAAGTGATTTGCAGAAAACCCTAATTATGATTTATTTTTTTTCGTAGGAAAAAAAGCCCTAATTTTGCTCTGCTAACACGTGGCTCAAGGATGACAAGAACAGTAATAATTTCCACAGCTTTAAGAAAATTTCTTATGTTTCATTAAGAAAATTTAAATAAAAATATCTTAATAAAAATTGCGTTATCTGATTGCAAAAGCTTTTACAAGTAAATTATAATTTTTTTTTCCTTACAATCTATTTTTAGATTTTTGTAAAATTAATTTTTGTTTTTATTCTTCTTAAAATAAACGGCTTTAAGCTATAATCTTTGAAGCGACCGAAGATCACCGGATATAATTTCTAACAATAGTTCTAAAATTACTTTTTAATGCAATTATTTCGATAAAATCATTAAGAAAGATCATATGAATATCATACTTATAATTTGTAAGTATTAAATTTATCTCTAAAATATTTGCATAAATGGGTTCAAACTTATAAGGCCATCTCCAACAGTTGTTTAAAAATCGGTTGTCTATATCTATAATTTAAGAGACGAACAGTGTTATGCAACACCACTTTTAACATCACACTCCAACAACATTATTTATATTTTACACAATTATCATATTTTATATTTACAAAAAAAATAGTTTTGAATTAATTTTAACAATTATAATTTTAAGTTCACATACATGCATATATCTTGTTTTAGGTTTTTACTC